TTTTTTTTTTTTTTTTTTTAATGTTTAACCCTTCTACTAGACTATAATAATTATTCAGAATTAAAATTGTACATAAAATGGATTCTTCGTTTTCAAAGGCTTGCTTTTACTGATGTAACAATATTTGTTTTCGTTACATTGAAATATTGAATGTATAGAATTTATATGAGGTTTGATTTGAATAATTGAATTGTATGAATATGAAACGTATAAAGTTGTAGAAGTAAAATGTAGAAATAATAAATTGAAATGAGATTTGAAATTAATTTTTTTGGAAATCCTCATCCTTTTATATAGGCTTGGGACCGAATATTTATTTTTGAGGAGGGGGACTTAAAATTGCACACGAATAACTAATTACGTGTATAATTTTTTTTTTTTTGAAATGAAGGGATTCTCGTTTTTGGAGGTTTTATTTTAAAAAAATAATAATAATCTTTGTTTTCGTTTAAGATGTATAGAATGTTCTAATTAAGTCAATAACTTTAGTTCTGGGAGTCTTTTTCTAACGACGTATGGGTTCACCTGCTTCATTCTTCATGCAATCTTATGAGGTATGTGCTCGCCCACTTTCTTCTCCATGCAATCATCTTGATTGCATAAAGAAAGAAGCAGGTGAACCCATACGTCGTTAGAAAAAGACTCGCAGAGCAAAAAATCTTAACTGAATTAAAATGTTTGGCAATTGAGATCTAAAAATTTGAAAATCCTTTTTCAAAATCTCTCATCCTTTTATCTGAGCTTGGATCGGCTACTTGTTTTCGAGTATGTGGGGTTAAAATTGTACACGACCAAGCTATTACGTATACAATTTTTGAAAAAATCAAAATATTATTAAAAAAATAACAAATTTTGATTATATGATGAAATTAAATATCATTTATTTGATTACATGCCATTTCCTCATACATATGCTGTATTCGGAAATGTGTGTCTTGTCATCCTTTACGTACATCAATGCTTCAAGAATATCTTCTTTATATTGTCTCCTTACATCGGATAGAGTCTTCTTACATGCACTAAAAGTTGCCTCCAAAGCTATAGTACTAACTGGAGGTGTTAGATATTTTCGTTTGTTCTTCTGCCAAAAATCAAGTAAATCAAATTGTATAGCATCAATGGGTTCTATGCTCATAAGTGTTTGATGATTTAAATATTTAACTAATTCAGCAAGCATTCCAGCATGACCTACGTTGAAAGTCAGATTATATGTAGAAGACACACTAAAAGAACCTCATGCATCATATCTTTCATGCTTAATGCCTTCAAATAAAGGCAAAAGTTTTACTTCATTGTCTTGAAAAGTAGCAGAAGAGGGGGGTGCGATGGGTGTTTGACTAATATTTTCACCCAAGTATTGTGCGTACGTTTCATATATTGAAGTTAACATATTTTCAAATTTGAATAAGTGATAAGTGTATCAAAATTTAAATAGTTTGTTATTTTATTAATAACGTTAGCAAAAGGAAATAACATTGGCAAGTTTATCCTGTATTTTCTGAACTTCAATTCCATAAAAACAATATATCAAAAAAATCGAGATTATTTTTGTATTTTTGAAAACATTTTGCAATGATGTAAAGACATTCAAGAACTCTTGAACTAGTGGGGTAGATTACCCCAGATAAGATATTTGTGTAATCATAAAAACTTGTCAAAAAATATGACTTTAAAGGCTAGTTCCGAGTGAGAATCAATTAAAACAGAATCATTGGCATTTCTTACATGCCTAGAGTTACAATATTCAGTGATTAAATATTCATAACTTTCACATAATTTAACAATAAGTAAGTGGATTCCATCTATGTCATACGTCAGTTATATTTTTTTTCGGAATCTTGGCCAACTTGTGCACAAAGTTTTTCAAATGCTTGTTTCCTACTTGGTGATATGGCAATATAAATTAGCAGATCTCTAATTCCATCAATTAGATTCTTAACGTGTCTCATACCATCTTGCACAATTCAATTAAAAATATGACAAGCACAATGAACATGAAACAAAAAACTACCAAAATCAGGATTAATGATTCTACAAAGTTTATCTATAACATGCTTGTTAACATTAGCATTGTCAAACGCAAAAGAACGAATTTTATTTTCACATTTATATTTTCTTATAATTTGGATAATAGAATTAAAAATATTATTAGCATTATGAGGATAGTCAATTTTCTTAAAAGCAATAATTGTTTTTATGTATTACCCAAAGTGGGTATATGTAGTGTGCAATTACCGTTATATAATCTTTTTTATTTATGTCTTCCAGTAAACCTGAAGTCAACGATATAACACCACCATATTTATTTAAATAACTAATCAATTGCTTCTTCGTTTTAAGAAAATAATAAATGGTGTCATGACAAATAGTGTTTCTAGTTAGCCCTTTGTACCTTGGTTGAAGATATTTCTTCACGAATATTGTGAAATGATCGTCAACCACTATGTTCAACGACAACTCAGCATTGGCAACGAATTTCATCATTCCATCACGAGTTCTTTCCTTCGAGTACTTCCATGTGTTTAGTGTTGAAGAACCACTATAGAAAGGACAAAGGCTGGTTGTGTTTGATATTGGCTAACATGACTATGTTTAGCCATACATTTGGCGTAGTGACGATTGAAGTGGGTAATATCAATACCCTTTTGACATGTTAATTGTGTTTGACGGTATTTACACACTACCTTACACTGTGATTTCGTCGACGGTATGACCAATTGTAATCAATTTAAAGTGTTCTCAACACTTTGCATGTTTTTTTTTTTTTTTGTTTTGCTTCCCTCTTGCATTGGAAATTTGTAACTCGGCTTCGTCGACATTTTCATCATGCCATCTAAATCGATTGAATTACTACTTTCATGTGCATCATCAACACCCATTCCCGACAAATCGTTGAGGATGGGAACGTTGTTGAAACTTGCAAATTAATTGGAAAATTGAGATTGTGACGTCATAGGTGATTGGACACCGAACAAGCCTTCAACGAAATCATGAGGATCCATGTGTATTATGTAATATAATGTAGATTGTAGTGTAAATGACGATGAGATATATCTTTAAAAAAAATTTAAAAAGCAGGTAAAGGTAAAATATTAATTTTATTTGAAAAACTTGTAGAATAAGTTTTTTGAAAGAAATTAGAGTGGTTTTGAAGTTGTCCAAGATCCAATAAGCAAATAGCCCATCTAACTCACTTCTTAGCCCAAAGAGCCCTAATCGTTTAGCCCCTTTATCGCTTTCCATATCCTTAAGAAACCACTATAAGAAGTTTCGAAACCCTAACCCTCATTTCTTCACAGGCCGCATCCCCCCACAGGCAGGTAAGTGAGAGAAATCGCCGCACCGGAAAATGAAGTACAATTCCCGAGTCACCTCTTCCCGGAGAAAGAACCGGAAGGCTCACTTCACGGCGCCTTCGAGTGTCCGCCGTGTATTGATGAGCGCCCCCCTCTCATCCGACCTCCGTACCAAGTACAACGTTCGATCCATGCCGGTGCGCAAGGATGACGAGGTGCAAGTCGTCAGAGGAACTTACAAGGGCCGTGATGGTAAGGTGGTGCAAGTGTACCGTAAAAAATGGGTCATCCATGTTGAGCGGATCACCAGGGAGAAGGTTAATGGATCTACTGTCAATGTCGGCATTCATCCTTCGAAGGTTGTTATCACCAAGCTCCGCCTTGACAAGGACCGCAAGTCACTCCTCGACCGCAAGGCTAAGGGACGCGCCGCCGCGGATAAGGACAAAGGCACCAAATTCACCGCCGAGGACATCATGCAGACCGTGGATTAGTTATCGACTACTTTGGAATCTTTGAGTTTGTTATTATTTCTGAATTTAAATATTGCATCTTAATTAGAGAACAATTACTGCTTTTTTCGTTAGATTACGGTACAAGACTTGGTATTTTGATTTTGCTATATTAAACGGTGACAGTTATAAATCTTAAGCCTTGTTGTGATATTGAGTGCTTGTTAAAAATCTCATTGTGGGCTCTTGCTGTGATGATTTAATCTGTCTTGTCTAGAACATACATAGGAGTCTTGTGAATCTATTTGGTAATTGCATTAAGTATTATCCAACAAATATGATATTTCTGCTAATGATAGTCATGGATTGTATAATATTCAAATTGCTTTAGGTTTGTTACTGGTGTGAATATTCGATAATTACACAATTTGGACATCTCTTCGAATGTGTTATTCATGAATTTGTTTCAGTAAAAAGTCTTGTTCTCTAGGTTTATTCATGAATTTGTAGGCTTATGTTGCACAAATTGAAATATAGTGCTTGAGAGTTGGTGCTTGTACAGGAGAACTTTATTTGGCTATTTAATGAAATATTGTATCTTTATCTTTACTAAATGCTTTGGTTCCTCCTTGGGATTTTGAGTGGCTATCGTTGTACACCTCCAACCAAAGAGTTGTTATGCAAATACTTTTTCATCTTGTCAACTAATAATGTTAAGCTTTGCTCCTCTGTTTGCTTGACCTCATTATGTTTTCTAGTTTTTGTTTGTAATAAACTTCAAAACTCCTGTGTTTTGTTTGGTACTCTTAATGACAAGAGATGATTCTTCAGTAATCGATCTTGAGGTTCTTTTCCATATTTCTTGTTTATGATAATATTACATAATCTATAGCTCCTGTTCCACCGGTTGAGCCGATGCTGTGTGATTTCCCGCCTTAAATAAGATTGGTACCATGGTTTTTATGGTTTGGTTGTGTTTTAGATAATTACTATGAAGTACAGGCATTTTTACATATCCGGTGTTTTATGTTTCTCTAAAAAGGATTTTGTGCCAGAAAAAGGTAGTTTTCATATTTCATAGGTTTGGCTTGCGAAATAAAATCTCTTTGTTTTATGTGAACACCTTTTTTTTTTCTGAAATTTCACCGTAAAAGTAATTGCTGTGCAGTCCCTTGCATTATTTGCTCTTTGCCATCCCAGAAATTGTTAATGAACTGAGGATAATTGCGATCATTGTTTAAGAATCGAGGTGTTATTCGCCCTTTGGACTGGTGGTAATCATCGTTAATTATGAATAGCATTACTCATGGGTTAATGTCTTGGTATTTTGCTCCACTTCACTAGAGATGACCTTGTTATGTAATCCAGGCTGAGCAAATTTCTTCGTAATGCCATCACAGAAATTGGATTAAGCTGAATTCTTGGTAATTTTTTTCTTTTTGAGCCCACTTTTGAGAGAGAGCGCACGTCTAAGCGATGCCTAGACGTGAAATTGGATTAAGCTGAATTCTAAGTTATGGTTAGACGTCAAAACGAAACTTCAAGTTTTGCAAGCAAGTCTAAGCGATGCCTAGACGTGAAAAAAAAGTGTTTTCATATTTTAAATGATTTTAAAAATTATTTAATAATTAAAATTGTTAGATAAACACTACTTTTTAGTGTTCTAAAAAACGTAAAACGTGGTTAGACGTCAAAACGAAACTTCAAGTTTTGCAAGCAAGACTAAGCGATGCCTAGACGTGAAAAAGAAAGTGTTTTCTTAATTTTAATCATTTAAAAATTTATTTAATAATTAAAATTGTACATATCCAACAGACTCAGGGTATAACCACAAACTTCTCAGGTCTGACTTCTTTAACAACGTAGTTTTATAGAGACTCGAGTGTCATAGTCTAGTATGACTAATAAAAAAAAATACACATCTAATAAATAGCCAAAAAAGTAACTTCGAAACTTAGCCGCTCGAGAGGTGCCTGGGTGCATTTAGTTGTATCCGTATGATTTAGCAATAGCAAGCATTGAGAGCAATTATTTGAATGTGGTCCCTTTTTTATTTTTATGAATCCAAATTTCGATGTCTAAAATTTTCAATTCTCATAAAGAAGAAACACGACCGCACAATAGAAATTCGATCCTCCAACTAGTAACAAACAGAAATAGTATCCTCAACAAGCAGACACGAAACAGATGCTATCTGCACAATCATTTCAATTCAACCATCTGCACAATCATTTCAATGCAACCAAGGAAACTGCGAAGCATTATTGGGTGCCCACCAGGTGATATATCCAGATACGATAACGAAGTTGCATTCAAAAAGGATTTAAACAAAGAAACGAATTTCCAAAGAAGAGTTCTTCATTTGAACCCTGAAGAATGTAAATAATCTCAAAATGCCTCGACAAGAAATGAAAACGAAGTAGGAAAAACTGAGCAGAGATGAAAGTATGGCCCAGGCATAAAAGTAAACCACGCCTAGAGTTACCTAGGATATGGAAAATAGTAATATTTATGCAACTGCTTATTACGCGCATCCTTCTAGCGCCATCCCAAAGAAACAGAATAAGTTTCAAACTGCAACATGATTTGGCAAGGCTTTTACTCTCAAGGCTTTAGAGCAAGGGCCACACCGAATCTGGGTGTCTTATCCAAGGCCTTGGTTTCAAACTCGCTAGATAGAGTCACCAATGATTTCCCTATGAGCTCGTGCTGCAAAACAGCACCTAGTATGCCATGATTATTGAGCTTCATTTTCACGCTTGTAAGGCCATCTATGTAATAAGAACCTCCAACTGTAAACGTGTTCTCATTTGTGGAGAATTTTCGGGTGATTTCTCCCACAGCAGCACTCTTCTTCAATTGATCTAGGTAGTGTATGTAAGATGCCTTTATCATGTCTCCTTTGTCACCCCTGAGAGAAGAACGAAAGAAAGCATAACACTTCTTTTCCAAAAAGAAAGCAGAACAAAATAAAGATAAAAAATAAGATTTTCCAGAATAATGAAGTTGAAACTTACAAAATTATTGAAGCACAAGAATCTGGTTTTGTCACGGTGATTCCTGCAGTATATTTTGTTAATTTACCAGTAGTTGTCTCATAACCAGCCTCTGCACCCAGAGCAAAGGTGGGAGTACCAAGGGTGACTGAAAGATCGAGTGGAGGGGATTGGTTCAGGCCAACAGCTGCAGTAAGGGATGCATGTGGGTGGAAGTATTGGAACTCCAGCTACTCAAGAAAAAAGTTAAACAAGTTAGGGAAATTAGAAGGCGGACATAACTTTATGATTTGAAATCAAACGGTGAAAATTTGAATATTTGCTTAATCTTTTTTATCACAGACATACAAAAGTAGATAATCAAATGGTTTTAGTTCTTAGCAATTGAGATAGTGGGCAGTGCACCTTGCCAGATTCGTAATTGGGGAATTTCACTGTAGCAATGGTCTTTGATGACGGGACAATTTCAGCAACAGTAAAAGTTGCTGAGATCTGCGAAAAAAAAGAATCAGACAACTTCCAGCAGAGAGTTTGTAATGATGAGATCAAAGTTTGAGCTCATACATTTGATTCTGTATCAACTTTGACATCAGTAGAAATATTATTGTATTTGTATTGGGCTGCCACGTCACCAGATGAGTACCCTCCTTTTTTCACCGTGGATGTTGTAAGGGCCTATGTCGAGGGAAACACAAGTACAGAGGTGGAAATTAGGTTCCATTCAATAAGTTAACCAAGGTATACAACATCCAAAATCAAATCATGAAATGCAGCATGAAATCCTACAGCTTGTGTTTGAAAAAATAGCATTGGTTCACAGCAATGAACTGATAATGCCCGGTTATGCTGCAAATGAAATGCCACTAAATAACTGAAAATAAGCAGAGAGATACCACTGGCATACTACTGTTTAGCACCCAGTGATGGGTTAGGGTATGGGAAAGCTTTTCTTTTAATCGCTACAAGCCAATCAAATAAGATGAGATGCATTCTAAAGGATATAGGGAAGATGGTTATTCATTCACCTATTATTGCTGTTTACATATATTTTCAAATACCAATCAATCAACACCGAATGAAAAGCCGAGCTAAAAGGAATAATAGACATCCAAACAGATCAAATCAAAGAGCTTAACCAGATGCATGTATATTCTGATTTTATTTTGTTGTTTTGGGTATCATGTTGTGCCTTATTTGACGTGACATGTCACTTCACTTGACGTGGGGATCCATGTCTAACACTTTGAAACAGATACCAGTCTCTTACACATGATCAGTCGCAAGAACAAAACCACGAATACAACTCAGAAGACTGTGCCTGCTCTCGTGTAATTTTTGAGTTATAATTTATGTTCTTACTCGAAATTGAACTACTACAACTTTTTCCCTAGATAAAAATATATACTTTCATCGCAATCAAAAGTTTTACCAATTTCATTAATGGCTCTATTAAAAGTGAAGATTCCCTTTTTGAACAAATTCCCGGATCCTTAAATTTGATAATTCAAGAGCATAACTTTGGTTAAAAGAGTTACTGGGAACTCTATCCACAATTTTACAAGATCTACCAATATGACACCCAATTTTTATACTAAAACTCTCAACTAACTAAAATAGCTCCGTCGGAACTTCTTAATTCATATATTTTTCTTCTTTCTATTTCTGTGTTCACTCGACATGCATGACAGGCACACATTTTCTAATATTATGGTCGAGTTTCCTTCAAGAAACTATTTACTGATATCATATGAACCACAGATAGAGACAAGTCGACATGCATTCTTCGAAAAAGTACAATAAGGACATATCACTTAAAATGCTTTAAAATTATAACCCTATATTATATCTTTATGTTTATAATTTTTTTATTTTAATAATCTTAATGCTCTTTCTTTAGCTTGATTTTCAATTTTGCAGGTGAAATATATCGAACTTAAGGAGTGTCTATCTAGTATATTAAGATAACCTATGAAGCACATGGATACGCCAACAAGTAATTCTTAATAAAGGAAGGGCACAGACACCTCATATAAAATGATATAAAATTAACTGTTTTATTTACGTTCTTATATTATCTTAGATATTATCATATTACTACACATCATTAATGCACTATGAACTGAGACCAAATTTGGGAGGGAAATGACAGAGCATCATTTTAGTAGTACGTGGACAGGGACATAAATTGAGAGTGTCCCAAGTTATTTGCATCAATAAATTGGCCACGTCACAACCATTGAAAATGAGGCCCAGTAAGAACCAAATAAAATGGCTCACCCACAGAATTCTCTCATCTTCAAAACATCAGTCACCTAATTTTTCTCTCCTTCGATAACCTCTCCCTTCTTCAGAAACCACTCCAGATACAAGAGGGGAAAACCCTTTTATAAAGAGTACGCAGTGGTGAAGATGGAGGGTGAATACGGTGGATGGGGTGTCGGATCTGTAGTGGCAATGCTGTGCGTGGTGATCTGTCTCATCTTTCTTCCGCTGGGAATGGAGCCTGGCCCGGTGCAACCACCACCATTGTATGTGATCCTCGTCTTCCCTGTGTTGATGGCTGCCATTCTAATTTACCTTTCTCGTGCTACCAAGAGTTAGTACTTGATTAAATTCTACAGTTCTCTAAGATTCTGTATACAACATATTTCTCTATTTTCGTTTTCCTTTTTTGCTTCCAATTTTCTATTTGAATCTGCTAGGGTTTGAATGTGCAATTTTCTCTTTAGTGATGATGTATTTATGAAGATTCTATAATTTTATTGAGAAAAAGAAATGGGGCCTGTTGTAGATGGATATGTCAGTGGCGTGTTTCCAGCGTGTCAGTTTAAGAATAATTAGGTGACGCCACATGGCATATCAAACAAGTGTCGATGTCCCATACTTGTCAAAGACACGCACCACTCTAGCCTCTTGGGTGCGTCTTTGCTTCATAAAGATAATTTTGAGTTGCACTTAATTAAAGTCCCAACAACTGTAAAGTAAGTCTTGTTTCCAAATAGTTTTACCAGTCTAACTAAAGAAAAATATTTGAAGTATCAAAAAATACACAGCATTAAGTAATACAGATTTGACGTGAAGTTTGTACAATTTTTTCTCATATTATTTTGACCTTTTTTTTATAAAATGCTTCAACAATATATAACTAATTATATATTCTAAACTTTACAAGTTGGGGCTTGTGATGTACTTTACATGTTTGGATCGTGTCCAGGGCTTATTGGTAAAGTCTCCCTTTCGTGTCAAAAACTTGTACAAAAGAAATAGGACACCTGGAAGGCATGTCAGATCGTACATGACTGAGGACTATCAGTCTCCAGCATACTTCAGTCATCTATACTCCATCCTAGGAGGACTACTAGTGCTTCACAATCTAAAATTAGTGCTTTTCTCTCAAAACATCTAAACTAACTCGCATTCTAAAATCATGGATGTCCCAAAGTCACCACCACCATATTAAATGCAGAAATTAGAACATAGTGAAGAATAAATCCTCAACGCATGTAATCAAACAAATCTCCTACCAAAGAAAAGGGAAGAAAACCTAATTGAAGCTTGCCCAACTTTTGTTCTTTTTAACTTTCTATGGAAAAAGATAAATTCCATGAGCAATTGTCAGGAGTCAGGACTGTTTATCGAAGACTAACGCCATGCAAACAGATGAAAATGAAGTACCGATCACAAAGTGCCACTATTTGATACAATTCACTGAAAAATCTATTGAAACTTGGAATCAATGACTAGGTGGGTTGGACGAAGGAATTTTCCATTATAGATGAGTAAATATATTACAAAAATTTGTTAGAAATCAAATTTTCACCAATCACAAAATAAAAACATAAAAAGAAAAGAGGATAAATTATTCGACTAAAATTGAACCAATTACCACACAAAAAGGAAAAATGTCAAAATGCATAGAAAACAACAAGCTTATTTATATAAGTAACTTAGTTGATCCAGTAATCAATAAATGAGACTAAGTGCTTGTTTGGCACATATTTAACGTATAAACATAATCAACCGAATTTAATACAAACATCCATTAACTAACTTGATACAAACTCAAAAGCATACTCACCACACAACAACAAGAACTAAGATTGACGATAACCTACAAAACAATGGCACACTTGGACACAATCCTAGATCCTACTTCAAAGCCTGGAAAAACTGTCAAAGTCGTACAACAAACACCACGACAATTTTCTTACATTCTTGCTCCCAAGTGCAGCCTAAATATAACCCAGTAAACAAGAGTGCATTACAATTTTCTCTTGTTGCCACTTTCTCATCAGCAAAGCCCATAGACTATTAAACCCTAAGTATACCTATAAGTAAAATAAATAGGAAGCATAGTGATATCATGCATTAATTGAATACTCATACAACATAAACAAAAACGTAGTACACTCTATAAACACAAGCTTACACATAATACAATCATATAACAAAAGCAAAGAATTAAAAAGAATCGTACCACTCCAGATTCACTGTAGGTGGAGACAGAGAATTTGTGTTCAGAGAGGTAGTCCCTCGTCAGTAGATCTACGAACAAGAAGTCAATAAATCAGACAAGTAATAGAAAAACAACAAATAATAGCATGAACATCAATCGAAACAAAATGAAATGGATCTTCGTTCTCAAGGTATGAAAATTATTTCAATAAATAAATAAATTGGATCGAAAAATTAACCTTTTGCCTTTTTTCCGAAATCTGAGAAGAGACCCGGTCCCTTACTCATTGCTTTCCTTTTAATTTGAGAGTGGGATAGATGCGAAAAAGTGTAAAACAGAGCAGTTTAGCTGTGAAAAGAGAAGAAATAATTTTCAGAATGCGACTGATTATTTTATGAAATTTTGAAGGATTTTTATCGTAATCAACGGCTGAGATTTGTTATGGGTGGACCTTGTTAATTGTGACCGTAAATTGGTTTTGTGTTTGAATACTCTTCTAGTTTGAATGTAGATTCAAACAGCTGCTCTATGATACTTCCTTTAAAGTTGGTTTGACAAAGCTTCTACTTTGTTTAGAATAGCTTTTTGAGAAATTCATGGGAAGCAAACCCCAACCGTCGACAAGGACGAAAGTCGACTTTAGTGCCAAACTAAAGAGTCATCTCCCAATTGATAAAAGTCACTATTTCCTTCAAAAACTCTTCCAACCGAACAAAACACTTTCGGAAAAATTATTCAAACATATTCAAAATCAGAATTTTCAACTCAAAAGCAACTTTTGACTTTTTCAAAAATTCTATCAAATGGACCCTTAAACAAACAAATGACATAAATAATAACTCTTTCATGATTTATGTATCGCATTGTCAATAGAAAATTGTGATAACCTTACATTTTCAAAGAACGGTCTCTTCGATTTCTTGCGCATTAGTAACTCATTTTGAAGTAACGGCACTACAAAAATAAGTAACTTCTTTTTTCATAAGAAAGAAAACGCGTAAAATATTAAAATATATTTTTAAAACAAGATTTACTTAAAAGTAACTTCAACTTTATAATAAACTACAGACAAACATCTGAGCGTGATTTCCCTAACTTCAAAGTGAAAGTTACTTCAAGTAGCTCTTTATTTCCAAACAAGTTATCTTTCTCTCATTTTTAATAAAAAAATAATAATAATGAAAGTAACTTTTATATTAATCTCTAAATAAGTAATTTATTTTCAACTTTGACTAATAAAAACATAAGTTATTAAAACTTACTTTTTTACAATAACTTCTAAATCCTAGCCAAACATGGTTACATAACAAATCAAAACTGAAGATTTCAGTTAGCCAACAAAAGTTAAAAGCATGTCCTTCAGGTAGCCAATTTCACAGCCATCTTTGATATTCAAAATTAATCAACTTTCACCATTTTCTCTTGCTTTGATTTGCCAATTTCACCGGCAAAAACTAGGCAATTTTATTCTTCCTCCATTGTATATCCTCCATGATAAATGCAAGACATCCAAACTGGCTCGAGCAATTCCCGAGCCCTCTGTAATATCTCTCTTCCATCCTCACCATTGCTTGGCTCTTCAGCTTCAACCTCCAGCTTATGATATATCTCTTCAAGAGATGTCGACATCAACTTAAGTTTTTTCCATTCCTCGTCTTTGCACTCCACTAACTTCACACAGATGAAATGCAGAAGTCCCAAAACAAGATAAAAATTCTTGCTCTCCAATGCTTGCTGCAAACCAGCTAAAAAAATTGCTCCAACAGAATCTAAGACATGATCGTTCGATTTTAACTGCTCAGTAATCATTTCTATAAGGCCCTTGAATGCAGTAAAAACCACTGAATTGGGATATCTATCGGTGTCCTCTTCTGGGCCAATGTCTGTTATTTCACTAAGCTCAATCTTCGCCAAAATGGAAAACCATGAGGGAAAAGTGGAAACGCCATTCTCAGATGGAACGGAATGAACACTCTCTCCTGGAGTCTTCGTCAGCAAGTGGCATGATCCTAAGGCCAGAATTATATCAGGAACCCATGGCTTGATTGCAGTAATAAAACGAGATGCGTATCCGTGTCCCAAAAATTCTTCAATGGAAATAAACAGGTTAAGCAATTCATTCACAAGATTGTAAGCTCCAAATTTGGGTAATGCAGCTTCAGAACTTTTGAGCACCACATTGAGTAACTTGGCTGCATATGAGAAGGAACTTTTCAAGCAAAGACTTATTTCTTTCAAGCCTTCTTCAGTGAAATGCTGCTCAGAAATGGAGTATTGTCGTAAATTCGCGTTAATGAATTTCAGATATTCCATTGTAAAGTTCAAGCATCTTTCTTGATGGCAAGGAGCAAGATTCATGGTGTTTGCATCGACTGTGAACTTGAGCACTGCTGTTAATATCTTCACCACATTTGACATCCTTACTTGTGTAACCAAATCCGAACCTACGCAAAAAAATAAAATAAATTTTTTTTGTTATCTACAATGGAGATAAATGAAGCCCTTAACAGAAGAACGACCACAGGTTCAACTTAGGTAGAGAGATTACACAAGTGCAATTGGATAAAACAGTGTATCAAGATAATCACTTCCAGAAATAATCAGCCTAGATTACCCCCATCATGTGAGGTTTATTAAGTTGGACACAGATTGTTTATAACAGCAAAGAGATGTTAGCAAACTATAATTAGCATAACTGGAGCTATGTTGGAACTGCTGTGAAGAGATTGTTGTAACCAAGGTTTTTTTTTTGGCCCTTTGGGCGTAACCAAAAATCTTATGGTACCAAATTTGGCATCCCTCAGAAAAAGGATGAAGAAATTATGGCAAAAGAAGTAGCGTATGAACATCCAAGGAAAAACATACCAGTTTGATGCTCACTGCTATCCTGTCCACTGGCAGTTTCCATCCTGTTACCATCCAATGAATCTGAATGCAATTTTCCAGACTTATTGTAATCACTTGCTCTTAGTAGCTTATTTGTACAGTGAAGCAAATGATCAATCGTCAAGTCTGAGACAGTTACCTGGTAATCAAGTAAAAAATTATGCACGAATTAGACACATTATAGCCCAGTATGAAAATCATGCAAACATAGAAGAACCATATTGTTCTACGTCTACTGGATGAGGAACATTTGTTGAAGTTTGACCCAAATTCGGTTGGGTTTTGGTGGATTAGTTGAATTGGGCCTTCACGAGGTCAAAATATGGACCAAAGAATAATTTCGATGTTTTCCGCTCACTGCACGCCAAGCTCCCGCTTGAGCGCTCAAAGCAAGGAGCTTGGCGCTCATTCAATGCCAACCCACCGCTCGCTCAGCCTCAAACTGGTGCTCTAGCGCCACTGTATTCCAGCCGAAGATTGTTTACTTTATTCCACGCGTTTTTTAATGTTCTTTCCATTTTTAACACTATAATTATGGTTTGACAATGTATCATATATATAATTGGCTCTTCATTACAAGTTTGATAAGTTAGAAATATAGAAAACACAATATTCTTTGTATCTTTCTCCATATTAATAAATTTTTCATTCATCTGCCACTTGTTCTTGTGTTCTTCTAGTGTTGTGATTACTACTTCATATTGTGCCATATAATCTTGTCCCTAATTTCTAACAAGTGGTATCAGAGCTTAAAATTTGATTTGTTCGAGATTTTGTTTTTGTGATGACAACCATGAAGTATGATATTCCGCTTTTAGATCACAGCATTAGATTCTCGTTGTGTCATGTAAAGATGCGAGCAGTGCTCACTCAGATGAATTTGGACGACGCTTTATTGAAATTTGACAAGATACCCTCAAATTAGTCAATGGAAAAGAAACAACATAAGGATCGAAAAGCCCTATCACGAATTTATCTTCATCTTTCAAATTACATATTTTTCGCGACGTTTAAAAGGAGAAAACTGCAACTACATTATAGGTGAAGTTGGAGTAATAATACATGACGTAGAGTCTAACCAACAAATTATATCTAAAGACAAAAGTAATGTTTGTATTCTCATCGTATGACAGAAAATACATCCTTAGAAAACCATCTTATTGTCTTTAAACATATTGTCGCTGATTTGGAAATTTTAAAAGTTAAGTATGGTGAAGACGAATTGGGTTTGATGATTTTATTGTGTTCGTTGCCCGCTCATATATGTCGTTTAGAGACATGATATTATATGGTCGTGATGCTCTCACTGTTAAAGTATATGATGCTTTCAAAGAGAAGACGAAACATCTTGTTTGATCTGAAGTTCAAGGAAAAGGCCTTGTTCATGGTGATTATAAGAGGGGCAGTTCAATGTCTAACTTCAATAATTAAATTTGTAATTATTGCAAGAAGAAGGAACACATAAAAATGGATTGCTATAAGTTGCAGAATAAAGAAAAATTGGCTGCAAATCAGAAGGAATAGCAGCTAGAAACTTCGGGTGAAGCCGACATTGCAGAAAATTACTACACTGATGGAGAACTTTTGGTTATTTCTAACGATGAATCCAAACCTGAAGAGGATTGAATTCTTGATACAACTTGTACTTTTCATGTGTCCCAATCAGAGTTTATTTTCTACCTATGAAACAGTTTCAAAAGATGTGGTAATGAATAACAACACACACCTTGTAAGATAGCTAGTATTGGAAGGTCAGAATTAAGATGTTTGATAGGACAATTAGAACACTTGATGAAATAAGACATGTATCAGATTTGAAGAGAAATCTTATCTCATTGAATACTCTTAATTCAAAATGGAATAAGTACACTGATGAAGGTAGAGTCCTGAAAAATAATAAAGGTGCTCGTGTTGTATTATGGAGACAAGGAAGGTCCCAGTTATATGTCTTACACGGTTCTATAGAATCATTGTTGACCATTGGAGTTTGGTTTGGGTCAACATTGAAGAATACATCTCAACGAGTTAAGAAATTCTAGATAATGTTGCCACCAGTGGTACCATCGTATTCAATTGCTAAAGACAAACCCTGAGAGATATTAAACCTCCATAAAGGTACGATAAAGCTGATTTAGTTTAAATGTGGTTGAAAATATTGAGTTTAGCAAAGAACATTCTATGGAAGTAGTTTGTAGTGTTTGATTCTGTTACATGATGTGTTTTTGTCCTATTTGGTGATTGTTGAAATATTTTGTGATTTTGTTGCTCATGTTAAGTTTATCCTAGTTAGATTTTGTAAAAGAGGTAGATAATTTTGTTTGTTGGAGAATTTGTTTGATGTTTGGTTGAAAAGTTCAGTTTTATACCTTAAAATGGAATTTGTTTCTCCTTCAAGGGGTCAAAATATGGATCAACGAATGATTTTGGTTTTTTCACTCGCTGAACGGCAAACTCCCACTCGAGCGCTCAAAGCAAGGAGCCTGGCACTCCCTCACCGCCAACCCATCGCTACCTATCGTTCTCTCAGCGCTCACTGGCGCTTGAGCGCGATGTGTTTCGGTTGAAGATTGTTTTCTTACTCAACGCGTTTTTTTATGTGATTTCCATCTTTAACGCTATAATTAGGGTTTGACAATGTATCATGTATATAGTTGGTTCTTCATTACAAGTTTGATAAGTCAGACAATATAGAAAACACAATATTCTTTGTATCTTTCTCCATATTAATAAATTTTCCGTTCATTTACCAATTGTTTTTGTATTTTCTAGTGTTGTGATTGCTACTTTATATTGTGTCATATAATCTCATCCATAATACCAAACAATAATCTCACCCAGGCTTGTTTCTTGAAATTTGTGTTATCAGTTAGCAGCATGTTGAAACCATTCAAATATTTTTGTGCCATTGGTTTTTTGCCAAATATCTATGGTCAAAATAATTTATCTAAGTAAACATTTTGTTATTTGAGCTTCATTGCCTTGATTCATGTTAACTGCTCTAGTTTTCAAGTATTATCAAAAGAAAAAAAATTCAGTAAAACTTTTCGAGATCACCGTCTTACTCTTCTTTGATGATTGCTTCATTTTTCAAGCTTTAGGAGATGTGCAAGGTAGTATCCACTTTCTTTTGTAGTTAGGAACATCTTGTTTTAACCCTTGAGCATCTTTCTTACTACCAACTACTAACAATAAACTATTTTTTCATTAGCAAAAATAAGTTTTCTTCAGATAATTTCCATATCCTAATAATATCAAGAAAATATTGGCATTGGATAAAGTATGTGAAAAATTATGCACCTCTTTCTCAACAAAAGTCTTGATCAAATTATTGTCGATCCTTTGACCTCTTAGTGCTTGTTTGGTAGGAATTTTTGGAGGAAGAATTGATTTTTGAATAGTGATATGATGGAAAATGTATGGTTGAAAAGGAAGAAAAAATTATTGATGTGATGGAAAATATTATTTTATTAAAAAATGTGTGGTTGAAAATGATAATTGATTTACTGTATAATTTAAGAATTAAAAACAAACAAGCCCTTAATTGACAATTTTACATCCTATCATCACCATGAAAGCACTTCACATTAGAAAGAAACCAGAAGTATTCATTAACATAGTACCAAAACGGATAAAATTAGAATATATCCAACAAGTGGAAAGGGCACCGATTGAAGATAAATTGAGGGAAGGAGACTTAGAGTATGTTTGGTAGGGATTTTTGGGTGAAGAATTGATTTTTGAATAGTGATATGATGGGAAATGTGTGGTTGAAAAAGAAGAAAAAAGTATTGATGTGATGGAAAATATTATTTTATTGAAGAATATGTGGTTGAAAATGAGAATTGATTTACTGTAGAAAATGAGAAGTTCTACCAAACAGGCTCTTAAGTAGTTAGGTCACATCATGTTTAGCGTCGACCTAAAGAATTCCCGGTTCGTAAGAGATGTGATTTCGGTAGAGCAATTTTTTGGAGAGGAAATGGTAGACCGAAATTAACTTGGTTTGTGATAGTTGCTAATGATCTAGTTGTTTTAAATATCCCTATCGATCTAGCAATGAACATAACAAATTGGCGAAGGAATGGTGCAGTCGACCCAAATTTATTGGGGAATAAGGTTTGGTTTGTCATTGGGATAACTTTCACTCAAAACTGAACCAGCTAGTCAAATCAAACGTTGCCTTGCGCTCCCAAGAAGTTTCATCCATGGTGCTATTTGTTATCTAAATATTTAGTTTTGATGCATCTGTTAGAAAATCATGTACGAGAACGAGTTGAAGAGATGACATTAAAACATAGAATTGAAACTTTATTTAAAATGATATGTCTCATTTTCACAATGCATTTCATTGGTAAAGAAAAGAATAATGCTATATATACAAATTGGGAATTGTCTGTGATGTGGCACGTGAAGTTAGGTGAAATGATAAAGCCAATTAAACGTGTGAATATGAGACCCACTTTATTGGCCTTCTCATTTAATGCTACCTCACATGACGATCATCCTAGTTTGTATGGATAGCATTATTGTACCTCAAGTTTAAATTTTGTGTATTGTGTTTGAGATGAGAAAATAAGCAAATAGATAGAATATATGAAGCAACATGAGGGTGTAAAAATGTGAAGTTCATTTATGTTGCACAATATCATAAATATGTTTGCTGAAAACACTAAATGCCTGAAGAGATGCAACTGTGGAACACGACAACATATAATTTATAAAACACATGAATTAATGTAAGGAAACATTATTAAGTCATTTAACACAGCTTCAAGAAATTTGCTGGAAAGAAGACTAAATGAAAGAATTACTTGCCTGTAGAGATGAGCCCACAGAATCGGGATAAAACAGATTATTAGAATCAAGACCCTTGCTTCCATTTATGTTGATATTCTCAAGAGACATGTGCAGAGTCAGAGCTGTGTACGCTGAAACTGAAGAGGCATTCATATAATCAAACTTCATGGCATGCACTATGCTAGCCTCAGAAATGACCTTCAAGGCTACGTATGCACTTTCTAAAAATTCAGAACCTAAAATGGCTTTCCTTGTAGTTTCAGATAGAAGTAAGTCCTTTATTTGCCAGGCTATTCCTGATGCAATTGCATAATCCTCATCAAATCTATGTTTGACTGTGTTAGATGAATTTTTCCTGCTAGTTTGTCTTGATTTTGATGTTTTCCTAATGGAGAATTTAGATTTTGACCGTTTTGCTGAGTGAACGTCTTGTTTTCCTAGTCCTATACCAAAATTTACATGGCAGCCACGGGCAGATTTTTGCAGCAATCCTACAACAGCTTCAAACATATCATCAAACCAATCAAAAACGAGCATCATTTTGTGGGCAGACCTCATTTCAGCTTGCCTTTCCATACTACTCATAGAACTACATTTTGTGATCAGACCCATGCATTCTTCAAAAAGGCCATCTACAGCATCTGGAGAAATGGTTGAGATAATGTTGCAGACAGAAGATTGAGCACTTGTCGTAGCAGCAATGGAAAACAAGTTCCTCAATTTTTCACTGGATAATTCCTCCTTTAGAGCTGTCCGGAAAGTTACATCTTTTACAAGAGTGTCACAAATGTGAGAGGCTCCAGCAAGTAAACCCTCAATATGTTCATCACTTAATTTGACCGATGACAGAGTTAAACTGAGAAGAATTTTAAGAAGTTTCATAAGGGACCTGGGAGATGCTCCTTCTGATACTGCAAACTCACAAAATCTTGCTCCTGCAGCGGGAGACCTTTTAATTAGAGTGACAAAGCGTTTACATGCTTCTTCTTCGGTTACTTTGGAGGGGAAATATGATGGAATAAGAAGTTTGGTGATTTTTCGAGCAACAAGTGGTTGATCATTGGCAAGCACTGACAACAATGCATCTAAATGCACAACCTGAGGGCAAACAAATCAACTAGTAGTAGGAAGAGAAATATCGTAAATGGGGAGAAAAGTTAAAAAGTTCAATTTGCAGATTTAATCTGTACCTTGTGAAATTGAAAATTTCGAATATCCTTTAAGAGAAGAAGGAGATCAGTTATAGACGCGCGTATATTTGATGCAGAGTCCAAGATCAAATGCCCCAATCTAGGTAGAAGCACTTTAAGGACCTCATGAGATTGAGGGTTCCCAAGCAAATATATAATTCCATTCACTGTGGAGGATCTGACGTCGGTGCAAGAATCGTACGTCATATGATCAAAAATCCTGGTAATCATCTTTGTAATGGTTGGTGAGGGAATAACTTCCCAGAACAAATGAAGAATACGACAACAGCCTTCTACCGCTACAACTCTTACATCTGGGCATTCATCCATTAGTCGTTTCTCCAAAAGAAAGAATTGCTTTTCGAGTAGTATATCTTTATCTTCCTTTGTTGCATCAGGATCTTCCAGAGGAAACATGTCTAGAAGCAAGTACAATGCATTTTGACGAACATTTGAGTTTGCAACCTGCCAAAGAATGAAATTAGAAATTTTGAGTAAAAAGGAAAAGACATGCTACTCAGAGGTGTGAAGTATGTATTCTTCTATGCACTTCTGGGAAATAGAGCTGCAGCAGAATGCAGTGCATGCAGGAAAACAGCATTTTACATTAATTAAGGAATCCAAAAACTGCATTCCAATTCATCTGCTAATTATGCTATCCACGTGGAAATACAAAAATAATGATAACTTTGTAAATAGAAGGTTAAAGCAAGTGGAAAAGAAAGCATTTTTTAGCACAAGCTAAAGAAAATGTGAACTAGAATTTTGTTTACTGCTCCGACTATGTGGCTATAGGACACACCCCTGACATGCCGCTATTATGCAATGTTCCATTTATTTTGTATTTAGAGTGCTGTCATGTCTAAATATATGCCAATGAAAGGGTACACAAGCTAAAGGCCAAATTGGAAATTTGAGTAGACAGAATTTTAGCCACCAGATGAAAGTGTCTTGCATTTTCCAAGAATTCACAATCATGGACATGCTCAATTCAATCGTGATTACTGATTACACATGAACCACACAATGCAAGAATCATGATCCACGACTGATTAGATGCGTTATTACACAGACATGCGTGGGGATGTCACTTGGGCCATGTTTGAGCCACATTATTTTTTTCATTCTCATTCTTCTACTCATTTTTAACCACACATTCTTCAATGAAATAATATTTTCAATCACATTAATAATTTTTCCTTCATTTTCAACCACATATTCTTCGTCACATCAACAGTAAAAATACATTATTTTTCCAAAAATGTGCATCAAACGGGAGCTTAATATTTTTCCATCATTTATTTTCTCAGTACTAACTAATAAAGGAGCCCCTAGTTAACTTCAATGCTATGCATTTTTCTGTCTAACAGCATATTAGGCTTTTACTCAACAAAAAGACACAATTTACCAAGAAATATTCTCTTCAAATCACCTAGTATAAACTTCTTTTTGCTTTTCTGCTTCATATTTCATCAAGATTAGGAACCGCAGTTCAATAATCTCCAGAAACACCATCACTACCACCATCCTAGGTTTCCTGATTCTATCATGTGAAACCCAATAGTAATTTCATATTCCTCATTCTCATTATTGTAAAATGAGAATGAAAAATATACCCCATGTTTGACACCCATTTTGTTTGAAAAAATAATTTTTGGAACAGTGATTGATGGAAGATTGTGTAGTTAAAACGTAAGGAGAATTTTTTGATTTATGTGTAATATTATTTTATTAATAGAATATGTTGTTGAAATGATGAAAGAGAAATAGAATGAGAAAAAAATGGGTGTCAAACAGGGACATAATTGTTATTGAGCCCAACACAAAGATAGAAATTCAAAATTGATGACTTAATTCGATGGATAACGATCATATTTTTCATTTTTTTAGATGAAAAATGAGAAACAAACGGGGGCTTAATCTGATAAAAGTTTTCAGCATAAAGATGTCATACAAATTTAGCAAAGGTAGAAAAGAATGGATTGTCATGAACTACATTCTAATTCAACTAAAAATGTGAACCAGAAGACAGTACCTGAAGTGACCGAAAGATCACTGGCTCAGCGAGATGAAAGATCAGTTTATCAACCCCCTCTACAGTCCGTTGATTAACAAAACCCCCTAAAACTTTCCTAATAGATGCAGAAAATGCCTCTGACCTGGCATGTACGGCACCCTCAACCAACTCTTGTAGAAATACATTCTCAATATCATCCTTGCATTCACCTTCAACTGCCTTCCATGCTCTAAATATAATTTCCCCATACCCCTCAAGCATTGACTTACGCCCAAATGGAATCTGTGACTTCATCATAGCAAACACCTCCTTAGCTAGCTGCCCACTCAGGCCAAACAAAAATGCTATAAATTTCTTCCCATCCTCCGTTTTCATGTACAATGGTGAGATTACGCAGCGAATCAACAAATTTTTCAAGTCCTCAATGCTCTCGTCATCAAAATCAAACAACGTGAATGCCTCCCGAACCGTATAAACTCTATGAACATCCACCTTCTTCTTCAAAGTCAATGACCTTGTTAAAAGAACAGGCAACGATTGAGAAATCAGATTTTCCTTCCCCAATAAATCCCCCTTCCACCATTGTTCACACAAACTCGCAATTTCCGACAGCAAGACCGGATCTGACTCAAACAAAATCAAATTATCATGCAACTCCTGTGCCGCAGCCAATAAATCAGAAGCAGAAAATAAATTTTTCGGATGAAACACACAAAGGTGCAAAATGTATGCATAAATCTGGAGCATTTCAACAGCATTTCGTCGCAAATTTTCACGTTCTTCAATGGGTGAAACCGCAACATCGTCGTTCTTTGTCTTAAGTCTAACGGATCTTCGGCGCTTTGCCGGGGGGGTTTTTGGGGAAACTGTGAAATCGGAATTGGAGGGGTTTTTAAAAAGAGAAATTGTTTGTGAAATGGAGTTGCGGAGTGCAACAGGAAGAGTGGAAAAGCCATTAGAGTGACTAATTTGTGAATTGATTAGGGTTTTGAGAATGGGTTTTGAAGATTTGAAAGGTAATTTCGCGGCGGCTGAGAGGAATTCTTCGCCGGAGCTTTGGAGTGATGATCGAAGCTTTTTCTCCATAATTTTCCGGCGGAACTGTACGAATGGTATGTTATTTACCGTTGGGTTCCATCTGATGGTTGGTTTGCCCGGGTGAGAATTGGACGAACTGGAAAGGGTTTTTACTGTGGAATTGGAGAACGTTAGGTATATTTAAAAGATTTTGAATTTTTTGAATCCCAATTTGGCGGTCAATTCTATTTTAGGATAGGAATGGTTGGAAGTGGGAAGTTTCACTATCTCCAATGTTTTGGATTGTCATATTTTGTACCAGGAGATGACAATGGATCAAGCAGATCATAAGATGAAGGGATACTTATAAAAATACCCTTAAAATTAGGGATGTTTTGAAAATTCATGTGAAAGGTTTTTATGAATTAAAAAATACTGTGTAAAATAAAAAAAGTGACGCAATGTCACTTTTTTTTATAAAAATTGTCACTTTTTTACTTTTTTAAAAAAAGTGACACAAACTTAAAAAAAAATGACAAAACTCAAACAAAGTGACTCAAACTCAAAAAAGTGACACAAACTCAAAAAAGGTGACAAATAACAAAATATCACCATCCATTCGTGCAGCACCAGTAATCATGTTCTTAAAATAATCAGCACGTTCAAGCAAATCCACGTACTGATTATGTTAGGAAAACATAACATATTATTTTATTTTTTTATCTTCTTAAAAAGTGACAAAAACTTAAAAAGTAACAAAATTTAAAAAAGTGACACAACGTCACTTTTATAAAATTGAAGAGTAAATTTGATATCCCTGGATGGTACTGCATAAAATAAGTAAGTGACACAATCTCACTTTTACAAAAAAGAGATTTTGTTTGTCAAAAAATGACAAATAATAAAAAAATGTGATAGAAAAAAGTGACAAACACTAAAAAAGTGACATGAATTTAAAAAAAGTGACAAACGTTCAAAAAAGTTTTAAAAAACTCCAAAAATGCAAAAAAATGACAAAACATCAATTGAAAACATTCAAAAAAGTAACAAAACACTAATCGAAAAAGTGATAAATCATTCATTCACCACTCTTCTTCTCACAAAATCTTACAAACAATCGTAACCCACAATTTTCAGCTCCAAAATAAGATTAAATCACACAAATTTATCTTCTCAACAATTATACAAGAATTGAGTTACTGTCCACCAAGAAATATCTAGCATCAAGAACACCTTCAAAGCAAAAAAGGACAACATACAAAACAGTATAATCCAGCACCACTTTTTATGAGCTTCCTCAAGCATCACAAGGGAGAAGCTGACAGAACTTGGACTCGATCTCTCGGAAGGAAGCTGATAAGACTAGAATGATGGAATAGTCGACGGAGCCGCCTGCTGTTGAAGTTTCCACCCCTTCCACCTTAAATATGACTACTGTAACTTTTATGGAACCTGTCATAAAAGGACAAAATTATTAATTAGGAACTTTAATTTTGAACAAAAACAAACATATACACAATATTCCTCTTTCCGGACATTCTACAAATACTATCGATATACTTAGTATTTTTCCTAATAAATGAGTCAACACCAGCTCAAATGAGTCAACACCAGCTCAAATGTTAACGGGTATAGGACTCAATATAGAACTACTAAACCTCGAAAATTAGGCTATCTAAAACAGAGGCAATTACTAACAAATTGGATCTGACAATAAAGTTTCCATACATCAATTTACCATAATGGGGTAAATGCATAAATAATTCAAAAATCTCAAGCATATATTTTAAATATACATGATAGGTGCAGATCTAGATAAAGGCGCCCATATACACAGACGTAGAAACAAATTTACCTTGGACGCAGTCACAGTTCTCAGCCTCCTTCCTCACCACGTCAAGCACTAAATCAATAAGTTCAGCACCCTCAGTGTAATGCCCCTTGGCCCAGTTATTCCAAGCACCGGACTGTCCAAACACGAAGTTATCGGGCCGGAAGATCTGTCCAACCGGACCAGACCAGATGTTGTCCATGCTGTCAAGACCCCGTCGCCCACTGGATGTGATTCTTCTTCCACCCCTTGGATCCATTTCTATAATGTTCATGTTCTGCAACTGCTGAAAAAGCCACTGCTTTTGCCAAAACGGGGTGGACGACTTGCATTCCCCTTATGGAGTTTTTGGAATCAAAAATGGGGATTTTGATTTGGGTTGGGTTGGGTTTTGGGGGTTAATTTAGAACGTATTAATTACGTGATTAAAGGTTATACTTAGTTAATGGGGTATTATTCAATTTCCTTAATTTTGGAGGGTAATGGCCCTAATTTTCCCTAAGATCAATTTGTCTGGGCTCGGTCCATAGATTAATTGACGAGCATTCATGTTCATGTTTGTGACTTGTGGAATTCATTTGTATGCGACTAAACGGTAACATAAAAAATGTGATAGTTGGCCGTTGCCCTCAGCAAATTTTTGTAATGATTTTAATCGTTGGCCTAAGGTCAAATTTTTATTTTTCTATTTTAAGAATTCTATTCTTATAAATATCCATCCCTACTTCATTTTTTTCTACACCATAATTCTCCGCATATTCTAAATTTCTCATTCAATTTTTATACAATTAGTTTTTACAATTCAATCTACTTTCTACAAATTAATTCTTTTATTGTGCAATTCAATCTACTACATTTTATCTACATTCTACTTGCTTATCCTAGTTTCATTTATTTCAATTCAAATGGACCACATTGGTAATTGGTTTTTTGGAGACTAATGAGTTTGAAGAAATGTTTGCTTCCAACACAGACTAGAAAGTGCTCCTCCCTCTCGCCGCTTCGACTCCACTATTAGATCACGATTTTAGTTGTCTTAATGACATTTCAATTCTTATTGATTTAGGCAACGAACATGTGTATAGGAGCACTAATTCAATTGATTGAGATGACAACAAAGAAGAAGAAGAAACGTATACAATACTTTCAAATAGTAAACAACTAATCAAGAAACAAACTGCTCATTGTTGGGAACATTTCAAATTGGTGGTTACGAGTCAAGTTAACAGAAAGCCATATCACAATGCAATATCGTTACGATATTTTGCTAGCGACATGCATAGTATTTTAGAACCAATAGATGCTAAAAAATAGACTTGCTAAATTTTTGGAGAACGGATGAACGTCAATATTCAAAACTCTGCTAAATTTTTAGTAATGTGGCAGGATTTTGACTTTGTATAGTTCAACACTCAAAGAAGACATAGTAGAGAGCTTAATGTGTTTAAAGGTTCGAGAAGACGTATATTTTGAATCCAAGATAAATATGCTAAAATACCAGCTAACCAAGTAAATGATCTGTGATTTCATCATAATTTGTCATTGTGCACTTTAATTTTCTTAGTATAATTTACTTTTTCTTTTAAATTGTAAAAATGATAATTTGTTCTTGTACCATTTTAACTCTATCTACACTAACGTGCAGATAGAGTTCACAAGTCCACAAAAAGGAGGATTTTCAAAAAATATTTTTTAATAAAAAACTAACGTGTGACTCGTGGGCTTGCTCAACTCGATCCATTGGCTCGCGACCTTATGGGACTAATCGTTCATGGTAATAGGTTTCGAGCCGATATTGTGCTCAGATCGTGTCCAAACGAGCACGAAATCGTTTCATCCCTAGAAAGAGGAGAGGAATGAATATCTTACCCCCTAAATTTTTGCACATATTTTGTTTTTATTGCAGCAATTCTCTTATCAGTATTCTAAAATGCACGTGTATACTTTGCATACGTCCTTGATAAGTGTATTTTCTACACTTATTCGGGACTTAAAACTATAGAATTTTATTGATCTTTTGGCAAAATTTTACATAATTTATGTTATATTGCATTGTGTAGGTAAAACTTTATGTTTGATGAAGAATTGGAGAAAAGAAGCAAAATATGGTGAAAAATGATAAAATCCAAAGTTTGAGGATCAAATTGCAATTACTCAAGAAGATACTTTAAAGATTGTTAGGAGACAATTGGATTGAAATTAGAATTCAAAAAGGAATGAAACATGATCAAAGTATTATCAAATCAATTTCCAATCGCTCAAGATATATTCCAGATTTTTAGTCGAATATTGATACCCTTTTTTGCTATAGTAAACGTCCGAATTAGAAAAACTCTATCTCAATCAAAGTTGTAGCCCTTTAAGTTATCTTTCCAACGTACTTTGAATCAGATCGATTAGATATCAGAAGAAAAAGTTATGACTAAAATACGGACTACTGTGCAGACACAAAAAATCCTGCGCGAAGACAACTTTCTTTATTCGATTAGAACTCTTTTGGAAACCAATTTGGACGTGATTTTCAACCAATTTTCGGCTCCTATAAAGAGAGAACAACAGAATACATATGGGGAACCTCCCTAGACCTAAGAATATCTATATTATACATATTTTGGAGGCGAAAAACATGACTAACAACGTGGAATCAAGGCGAATTGCATAGAAAATTGAAGATTCTTCATCCGGACTCAAGATTCACATCAAGAACGTGGATTTTTCCAACTTCTTCCATCTTTTTTATTTCCGGGTGATATTTTTCCAATTATTCTTGTGTAATTTAATTTCTACAATATGTTAAACTAAATTCCCTTGTATTGGATGGATGATGAAACTAATTAATATTTAGTTTTTAATTCGATATCATGTGTTTTTAGTTTAATTCTTACATTGTGATTTCATAACATATATGAATTTATTATTTTTAATGTTTGCGCACCATTATAACAATTAGTTGCTTATTCGTAGTGTTTGAAAACTCACGATAGGTAGAACACTGTTTATGGAACATACGGACAATAAATATTAGGAATAATATTTATGGCGTGTGCGGTCATGTGTGATAATCCTAAACGTCAATGCTTGCTTGTCATATGAATTCGGACTAGAAATAGGATCGTCTCGTGGCAATCATAGATTTATTATATCTTGGGAAAGAATAGTAAATGAAAGTGGAATTATCGATCGTCACAATTGCGTGAATCGAATTAATTATCACTGGTTGAGAATTGAAATTAAGAATTGATTAGTGGAGTCGGAAATCCAATACACTCACCCAAATTTGATTTAAAACCATTTTTTTATTGCTTTTGTAGTTATAAAACGTAGTCAACTAAAAATCAACCATCTTTTATTACATTTACGAATTTAAATTATTGAATGCTCTAAAATTGAGCCTTATTCCCTGTGGGACGATAACTCACTCATTACAATTATTACTTGTACAACGAACTCATACGCTTGCGAGATTTTTGTGTAACAGTCCTCATATGCTCATGGCATTTTTGAAACACCTCGTACGTGGGATATGCAAATGATAAAATGGTCAACCTATTTCATTGACCATATACACATATTTAAACGTCAAAATGCGCATGCTTTTGTGTTAAAAATAATGTCAAAATTAGCTTAGAAAAACCTAGCCTATTTTTATGACTTTAAAAAAGCAGATTGAGCCTAACAAACATCAAATTAGTCCAAGTCACCCAAAACCATGAATTACATACAACAATCTGTAGAATTTGAACATTTAGAAAAAAATCAAAAAGAAAAATTCATAGAGTTGCAACCTATCCAAGCCGAGGCCGAGCCCGATCCTCCTTCTTTTTCGGTCTTCCTCTAGTTTTACTAGCAAGTGATACTAGTAATGGACAATCTTGCATTGTTGATGAGGAGGAAGAAGCTAACAATTATATGTCTACAAAAGATAATAGAAATTTTCGAGTTGAAATAAGGAAACTAGATGACGATGATTTTTGTATCGGATGACACGAAATATGAGTTGAATGAAGAAAAGAGAAGATTGAATTAGAACTTGATAAAGAGTTAAACAATATTTAGTATTTTTTAAATCAGTTTTCGTATCTAATCTAATTGTAAAAATGAAGTACCAAATAATTGTAGTATTTATGATTTTGAGCAATATTTAAAAATAAAATAAAATTGTAGAACATGTATAAAGTTCAAGTAATTGTAATATTTATGATTCTAAACAATAAATTTTTTGTTTAAAAAATTTGAAAAATATGTATAAAGTTCAAAGAATGAATTATTTTTTATATTTATTAATTTAGAATATTTAAATTAATATTAAAAATAGAAAATGCATATTTACGCATATGCTTGTAATTTTTGATGCTCGATCAAAACGCATTGTCACACATTATGCATTTTAGAATATTTGGGGCCAAGAGACAAGATATGACATTTGGGATTTTGAGTTCTAAGGAGAGAATGAGGAATTGTACTTCTTTCAAAACGATTAGCTATTCTACCTACTTTTAACTCAAGACAAACTTGCACTATCTAAATTCATGACAGGATCTTTGTATTTTTGAGACATTAATAGCTGCTGGACCACTAGGTATGACCCTTGAACCGCCAAGAATGAGACCATGGTATTTAATGTAAAGTGAGAGCCAATGCAGTACATTGATAAACTGGACAAACTATGCATTGGAGCCAAGCATGTGAAAGGATAAGCCTCTATTTTTCACCAAGAATCAAGATTATAGGGTTTGGAATTCTTGAACAAGTACGGACGAGATAAACTATCAAGAATCGTTCAATAAGGTCTCCTAAACAACACCCAATCATGCATTCACTATTCATATGTGTAGACATAGCTCGGAGTTTAGAGCTTCAAACACAAAGACAATGTACTACAATACAATGAAAGATAGACCCAAATTCATTCAAAAAAACTCGAAAAAATCCTATGCCTATCGCATTGACTTAACACGAATTAGTAATGGAAAAGTGCGTTGAGGATGTATCACATGAATCGAAAAGAATTTATCCTTTTCGTTTTCTGTCTCCATGACTTTAAGCTTTTTGAAGAGAATAAATAGAATCTCAACCTCCAATCAAAATTTAGAGCAAATGGCAATCCAGTGTCGCATAAACATGCATGATATATATTACGAATAATGTCGGAAATTAAGGGGAAAACAAGAATTCGGAAAGGGGAGAATCACTAGATGTGTTCATGAACCCCGACTACCAAAAAAATTAACAACAAACTTCAATTGGATTCGAAAAAGATATATTTCTCTTTCTTTATGCAAATTCCTCCTTTTTGTATTTGTTTTGCTGTCATACCTATGACTTTTCCTTAACGCCGACATTGGAGCCCACCATCGACTCCAAATAATACCATATGTTGGTATTTTTAATTTTCATTAAAGCCGAAAATCCAATCTTATCATCACAATTCAATACCTCACACCAACTATGGGCGATGACTCTTGCGAGGAGGACAAGATCGATCACCATCAGGATATGCAAGTCTTCTCTTTGCGCCAACAGTCGAAGTAATTGAAGAATTCTCAGAAGCAGAGCTTGATTGGCTTGATGATAAATTTGGGCATATCACAGAGTTGGGGGTATTGAAATTCACGAACCTGAATTTTCGCAGTAGATTATAACAGGAAATCATATCCTCCTGTTGATATGCATAATCAGATGAAAAAAAATCAATTAAAATCACTTCATTACTCACAATCTAACAAGAAACAGCAAAATTACACAACAAATGAGACTCACTTTCTCAAGGGACTCCCATGATGGAATAACATTCATCTTAATCTCCACATCTTTTTCCATTAATGCATAATCATACGAGGCTAAAACCGCGGCTGCTGCAATAATGGACGGCCGATATTCCCCCACATTAATTTCTGCGTCACATAACTATAAATTCGTAAGCAAGTTCACTAAATGCGAATTAAATCCGAATTCAAACTATCATTACGCGACAACTTACCTTTAATTACAGCCATGATCAATTCAACGGCTCTTTTTAACAGTTCTTCGCACCTTAATTCACCACAGAATTTCGCAGAGAAATAATCGAGATAAGCAAAAGGAGTAATTAAACTCATTTTCCATTTCAAAGTACTTAAAACCAACAACTCCATTTTCTTAATCGCATTCCCTTCAAAATTAAATTCATCTACATGATATTCGGGTAATGCTGGAACTATACATTCCTCCATTTTTGCTGCCACTGATAAACAAGCAACTGACAATAATCTAATAGCCCACAACTTAGGATCCTGTTAATATCAATAAAATTCCAAAATCTCATTTAAATAAATATCTAATTCATAAACCAAAAAACAATTCAAATAAGGAAAAACTTACATCAATAGATCTTCTTGAAAAGAAGATGTCTAAATAAATAATCGAAAGATAAGCTGTATGAAATTGAAATCCAAAAAATGCCCTTGTCTGCATAAAAACACCAGCATTAGACGAATAATCATACTATAAACTTATCAATCAGTCAAGATTAAACAAAAAACAGACCTCAAGAATCCATTTAGTGGCTTCCAAACGGGCGCATTTCAACCAGTTTCCTTCACTCTCAATTGAAAAACCATTTCCATCCGATTGAAAAATGCTCTCTCTTTGAATTAACAACTGTATATACTCATCATCAAACTCAGAAACAGAGCCCAAATCCTTGATACCGCGTTCATTCAAACAAGACTCGTTTTCTTCACACAAGAGATCAGACAATGAAAAAAGGTCTGATTTTTCCATTCCGAGAATTTTCTTAATTTCTGAGAAAATAATGGGCAACCCAGGAAAGAAAAATGAGTGACTTTTTACAGTGGAGAATAATTTATTTAATAGGCAAAATTTCTGTAATCTAGAGAGAGATTGATATCCAGTAAGGATGAAAGAGGAGCCATTGAAGTAGCGGTTTTTGTGCCGCCAAATTTAGCGGAGAGAATATAGAGCGCGTTTTTTAGCGGTTAATATACAGTATATCGAAGCAAAAATTGTTAACTGCTGTCAAGTTTATTATACATTTTTTAAGGAGAGGGGGGAGTGAAGGGTGTAGTAAGGTATAATGTGCATTAGTATTGCCTAAGTCACATTAGTCATGCTATATTAAGACTAGTGGCACCATCAACAAGCACTTCGATACTCTAACCAAATCGAGAATAAATTGAAAAGGAAATATAGGCCCCACTTTTCTAATTGGGTCTTTTGTCATGCTACTCGACCAGCTTATTAAAAGTTAATTATGTCGTTCTGACAAGATTATGTATATTTTGTTACTATTATCAGGTCACGTTTGTTACGAAGTACTAAGTCAAGACTAGTGGGACCATCAGCGAGCACTTCAAACACGGTAAATAATCGAGAAAAAGGGTAAGGAAATGTAGGGCCCACTTTTTAAATTGTGTCGCTTGTTGCACTACTCGTCCAACTCATTAAAAGTTGAATCCAACAATATCTTATGCATTGATGTTATCGAGTCACGTTTGTTATGCAATATTAAGACTTAATTAGTGGGACCATTAAAAAGCACTCAGAGATTACCGTCGAAATAAGAAAGAGAAGGCGGAAAGGAAATATAGGGGCCCACTCTACTACTTGTGTCTCCCTATTGTGCCGCTTGACCAACTCATAAAAAGTTAAATCCAGCATATATATTGTGCATCAGTACTATCGAGTCACGTTTGTTACGCAATGGTAATATATGATTTATCGAACTATTGAAAGCATTCTAGACTTCAATTGAATTGAGAAAAAGAAAGTGGAAAGGAACTATAGGGCCACTCTTTTAATTGGATATATTGTTGTGTTACTTACCAGCTAGTAAAAGGTTGAATCAAGCAGGAGTCACAAGCATGACGATAAACTCTAATTAATGAAGCCTAATCTTTTTAAGTTCTTTTTCATGTTGTGTTGTATGATCAAATATAACTTATCGAACAATATTATTATTGTTTTAAAATTAACGAAAATCGGTACAATTTTTCTTATCATAATTTCCTTTCTTCTTCCATAGTTTTTTTTTTAAATATGGGAAAAAAGATTATGATTTTAAATCGAACATTAATTTTAAGAAAAGAAATTATTTTTCGTCATCAACCTTTTCGAAATGTAACAAATCTACTTTCAACATTTTTTTAGCATAATGCATCCCCAACTCATCAATTTTGTAGCAAAAATTAAAGAAAGCATTAAAACAAAAAAAAAAAAAATGTAAATGGAGTCCTATAACTTTTTAAAAAATACAAATAAATCCCACTTAAAACAATTAAATACATATTAGCACATAGAAATTAGGGGGAAAAAGTGTCATATTTCACAGCCAAGCTCACCATTTTTCATTTCATTAAGTAATAAAGACCTAAGAGACTTGTTTCGCAAAAATAATAAAAACAAATTAAAGTAAGACCTTCTAAAGTTTTTAATATTAGACTAAATATATCTCTATATAATTGATAAAAAAAATATTTTACGTCTCTGTTTTTCAATTTTATCTACTATCGTCATCAACATGAATTTTAAAAGATTATAAATTATAATGAATTTCCACATAATTCATAATAATCTTTTAATGAAATTTCAAAATAGTTTGTTACGTGTATTTTAAACATGCAATACATCTAAATTTCATAAAATTCATTTATTAATGAAATCCTTATAAATTCACGAGTTATTGGGGACATCTAAATTTTAAATATTAAACACGCAATACATCTAAATTTCATAAAATTCATTTATTAATGAAATCCTTATAAATTCACTAGTTATTGGGTACATCTAAATTTTAAATATTTTAATGAAATTTCATTAAATCCATTAAAAATCTCAGTTGGTGACACCTATATTTTAATGAATTTATATGGAATTATTAAAATCTCATTTGTGACATTTAAATTTATAGGGACTTTAAAATTTATTGAAATTTCAGTATTGTGCACCCTATTTTAGTATGCATAGTTTTTTTTTTCTCTTAAATATATGGATTGCATTAATTGAAAAATCAACCACTGCACCTTCTAAAGGTTTACTTGCCAGTTTTGGGACACCGATTATGCTTTTGTTTAAGTACCGATTTTGACCATTTATGAGGTGTGATTTTTAGAAGTATTCAATATCCATAATTGAAAATTGGAAGTAATTTATGAAAATAAAATTAAATATATGCCAATATATAAAAAGATAAGTATATTTAATCAATATGAAGTAAATGTGTGCATCACTTTTTACAATTCAATATGACATGAAGTCCTGTTTGATAACAATTATTTTCAAACTATTTTTTCTACATAATCATTTTTAATCACACGGTCACATAATAAAATATTATGTACGTAAACCCAAAAATTTTCTCTATTTTTTAACGATGCATTCTCCTAACAATTACTATTCAAAACTCTATTTTTCCCAAATAATGATTGTAAAACAGGGGGTGAATAATTTATAAAATTATTTTCTTTTGTATATCACAAAAAAAAAAAAAAAAAAAAAAATCGAATGTGAATCATCGTAATAATATTTTTATAAAAAATAAAATAAAATTCTTACTTCATGCATTATATCTGTGGAAATTAAAAATGGCATATAAAACGTAAATTGGCCGTTTCCATTATTAATATTATATGGACAAAATGATATTACTCACTCACACAATTTGAGAATTTATGAGTTTTCTTTATAAATCCAAGTACATTACCATATTTGCATGTGACTTGCCATATCCAAATGAGTTTTTGCTTTTCTTTTTCAGTAATATGAGATTTGGTGTGAATAGACAGTTAGTGCATGTTTGGCCAAGTCCACTTATCAATGTGTTTATTTATCATTAGTTAATTTAGTTTAATTTAAAATAAGTAATGATTTTAATGATTAAAGTTGACAACTTATTACTTATTTTCAAATAAACAAAAAATCTTGATCTTGTTCCTCTAACGAATTCACACATATATTATAATGGGTACTGTCTCGTTTCGTATCCATTTTCTCAAGAATTGGCCTCGACTATTAGTTTGACATTTTTCATAATAGATAGAGATTGCACTAGAATGCCAATCAAAATAATTTTTTTTTCCCTTTTTATGCTTTCCATTTTCCTTTTCTTCTACTTATCTTAGAGATGATATAGATACACCGTCTAAGATTTATGATAATCTGAGAGACACTTCCTTACGTTTTTTAAAAATTGAGGATATGTTCTCTTTGCTATTTTCAGTTTTCGAAAATACTGAAACACGTTTACTTACTTGTTTTCAGAAATAAATTTAAAATTTACAAAGATAACGAAAAACGTCAAAAAAGTCGTTTTGGCTGTTTTCAGTTAAAACCAAGTCAAAATTTAATTTTTTTTAATTTTTGAAAACAATTTTTCAAAATGAAAAAGAGAACGCGTTTTCAGCAATTTCAAAATGGACACTCAAAACTCAAAACTAAAATATGAAGAGAACAACCACTAATCTTTCTTAGATTTAGTTTCGAGTATTACATGCAACTAAAATGCCCTTGTGAAGTAAAAAATAAATTATCTACGATTAAATAGAATTTAATTTGTTCCTTTTAATACTCAATTAATGCTTAAAGATTGTGCAAACATTAATTTTGAATATGCATGCTAATAGGAGTTTAAACTTAAAATTTGTTAAAGAATTTGGTAATAAATGACTTAGAATTTTCAGTTATTCATACATAATTTAATCATACAATTTCAATATCTATTATTAAAAACATAAATTTAGACTAGAAATACCACTGACAAAAGATAAAGAATTTATATGATTAAAATATAATCTTTGTCGAATGACTCCGCATATGACATGTCAATTTAAACCAAACGGTTGAATTACAGCAGAAAGAAGAGAGGAAAAGAGACGCAGGAGAGGGAGGAAAAAATATTCCTTGTATTGCAGAATTTTCTATATCAAATATAGCAGGCCTCATCTACATTTATAGTTCGTACATTTAACAAATTGAAGTGAAATTAACAAAGTTAACTAACTCCTATAACAGAAAATAATTAACTCTAACTATTTCTTCTTAACTAACTTTCCTTCCAGCTGGCTTTTCTTCTATTCTTGATTTTTCTTCTTTTATTTTTAATTCTATGTTGTCAATATGAGATTCAATACTCCAACACCCCCCTCAAGATGAACATGTATATTAAGAAGGTTCATCTTGCAAAGAGTATGATGGAAAGATAAAGATCTGAGGGGCTTTGTGAAGATATCAGTGAGCTAAATCTGTGATGGGATGTGGAAAAGTTTGACGACATTCTGATGTAACTTTTCCCTAACAAGATGGCAGTCAATTTGGATGTGTTTCGTCCTTTCGTGTTGAACTGGATTAGTGGCTATATACAAAGCTGATCCATCTACAAATAAGTCTTCGATATCCAGATGGATCTTCATACAAATTTTTGTCAGTGGCAGAAAGCTTGAGAGTGGATTCCATGGGGAAAGCAGCTGGCTTTGATCCAGTTAAACCAGAATCTTTAGAATGTCAGGGCATATTTTCTTTGGCACAAGGAAATACTAGCTTTGGATCTTTCAACCTCTACACCAATAAAATATTTCAGCTGTCCTAAATCCTTGATGGTGAATTTGTCATTTAAAAAGGTTTTCAACTTCTGAATTTCGATAATGCTATCACTTGCCAATAGCACACCATCTACATAAACTAGTAATGCAATGAATGAGCACTCAAATTTCTTAATGAATAAGGAGCAATCAGAATTGCCTTGGACAAAACCATAGTGAAGAAGAGTA